GTGGGCGACTCGGAAGCCACTGGCGTCCCTGACGAGACCTGCCGGCCCCCGGCCCTGGAGTCCCTGCTCGGCCCCCTGCCCACGGCAGCCAGCCTGGGCATCTCGGACTCCATCCGCGAGTGCATCGCCTCCCAGGGCCGCGACCCCAGTGAGTGGCTGGGACAGGCTGAGCCCCAGGGGAGAGGATTCCTGTCGGGACCCACCCCTCCCTGGGACCCCATCCTCAGCCTGGGGGACATGGCGTTCCAGGAGGGGAGCCTGGGAGTGGCCTGTCCTGCACATGCCCCTGTGAGGGTCCTGAGGTTGGGAGCACACGTGTGCCGAGCCCTCTGCTGGCCTGGCAGCCATGCCTGCCGTGTGGCTGGGGCCCAAGCACAGCAGTGGCCAGACTCCCTGTCAGGAGGGCAGCAACCACTGTTGGGAGACCTGCTGGCACCCAGGCAGTGCGGGGGCTGGTGTCAGCAGGGGACAGTCGAGTAGGCCGTCTGCCTCCACCCCACGGCGCACAGGCCACAGCGGCCGTCCCCGCCGTCCCTCGCCCACTCTAAGAGCTCACTGAGGTCAGCCTCCGGGAAAGGCTGGGCGAGGCCCTGGGCAAAGGGCAGCTAGCTCTGGCCCTGTTCTGTGCAGTGCGGGTGCCCCGGTGCCAAGGGCCAGCTTCTGGCCACACCGTCACCTCAGGCCCTGCCTCCTCTCCAGGTCCAGATGTCCCTAACGGGGCAGTGCTCAGTTGGCGATCTCTGGGCCAGGTGTACAGGTGGCCAGGGCTCTGCAGAGGCCCTGTGCAAATGTTCCAAGGCAGCCGGGTGCGGGGCACCCAGGGCGGGTAGAGGCTGTCCTGGGTAGGCAGACCGTGCCTGACTGCCAAGAATACCGTCAGGACTCAGCTGCGGTGCACGGGGCTGAGCTGAGAGGACTCGGCCGGACTGTCGAGTGGCGTGGGGGCGAGAGGAAGGGCCATCTTGGTTGGGAGATAGCACAGACAGCCTCTTGACCACACTAGGGTCGGAGCACGCTGCAAGGTCGGGGGCCCCCAGCCTGGCCGTGGAGGCTCCTGGAGGCTCCTGTGTCACCTTGTTCCTGGCCCGAGCCTCCTGCCTTGCTCTGTGTGCACCCCCCTCCAGATGTTGGGAGCGCAGCCCGCTGGGGCCCCTGCCTGGAGCGCTGGTGCCCCGACCTGATGCGGCACCCCTCTGGGAAAGGCAGGCACTGGGCTCTCCCTGCTTCCTTCCCCTGGGGCACGGCACGGCTAAGACCAGCGCCCACAGGCTGGGAGCACACAGGAGGCCTGGGTTCGGCTCCTGGCCCCACCCTAAGGCAGCGCAGCCGCAGTCTGGGTCTCAGGCAGAGCAGGAGGGCACACGCTCTGGGCGGCATGGGCAGCCGTGTGAGCGGCCCTGTCTGGACAAGACTTGGGCGTAGTCAGTGACTTTTACTTGTGGCCCCAGCTGGGAGACAGGCAGGAGGGTCACACTCAGCCCTTTTTATTTAAAAAATTTTTAAAAAGCACACTTTGCCACAGGACACATGTGCTTGCCAGAGGGGCGGAGGGAGAAAGCACCCCATGGGGCCTGGTCACACTGCAGTCCCCTCTCCCTTACTTCTTCCTCCTGTCAGGATTTTGGACATGTACTACGTGTTTTTCAAGCTGCCAGGTCCGGGACTTGAACCCTGCAGCCAGACACATGGGATCCCACTGCCTTACCCACCAAGCCACTGGCTGGGCCCCACATGTCGCTTCACACCGT